CTTACTAGAAACATTTCATGTTGTGAGTGGAGCTAATCAGACCTTACTAGAAACGTTTAATGTGGTGAGTGGAACTAATCAGACCTTACTAGAAACATTTCATGTTGTGAGTGGAGCTAATCAGACCTTACTAGAAACGTTTAATGTGGTGAGTGGAACTAATCAGACCTTACTAGAAACATTTCATGTTGTGAGTGGAGCTAATCAGACCTTACTAGAAACGTTTAATGTGGTGAGTGGAACTAATCATTCCTTACTAGAAACATTTAATGTGGTGAGTGGAACTAATCAGACCTTACTAGAAACATTTAATGTGGTGAGTGGAACTAATCATTCCTTACTAGAAACATTTAATGTGGTGAGTGGCACTAATCAGACCTTACTAGAAACATTTTACGTGGTGAGTGGAACTAATCAGACCTTACTAGAAACATTTCATGTTGTGAGCGGAGCTAATCAGACCTTACTAGAAACGTTTAATGTGGTGAGTGGAGCTTATCAGACCTTACTAGAAACATTTTACGTGGTGAGTGGCACTAATCAGACCTTACTAGAAACATTTTACGTGGTGAGTGGAACTAATCAGACCTTACTAGAAACCTGGTTGTTAGCGAAGATTGTAGTAAAGCAAATATTGTTTTACGTGAAGAATATAAATAATTGTTTTATGAAAAAAAAGGGGTTCGTACTTCCTTTATATTGTAATATTACTATTAATTGTTTTTTTATTGGAATTAAGTATATTTTATTGTTTATGTGTTAAAGTTGTACATATTTTTTTCTGTCAAGTTTCTTTAACCATTTTATATGGAATGAAAAGTTATTTGGATCATGAAGGTAAAAACAGTTTATGAAAAATTATTTTTCTGTTTGATATTTTTCACAAACTTTGTTTTTGGATTGAAGTATATGATTTGATTTTAATTAGATACGTAACGCTGAAACTCTGTGTCGAGAAACTTTGTATTCAGACTTAACTGAGTTAGAATTTCTGGAATCAATTTGCAGTGATAATGGGACACTGACAAAAATGGTAAGTTTTAAAGTAACGTGTTTACAATGAATAATTTAGTTATATTTTCAAATACTAAAAACGTTCAGGTGTGATTCTACATGACTTTACGATGAACCAATTAGCATTTAGTGCATTTTTATATATATGAACAAAAATTAATGACACGATAAGAAACGAATTCGATTTACAACTTCAAGTACGAGTAGTTTACAAAACCTGTTCAGATGAAACTGGAGTAACTAACATATCCTCTTTTTTCCGCTGTTAAAGATTGTCATATTTTATACCAAGTTAGCATTTTTTGGATCAACTGTTTCAAATAATAAGGCAGCATTTATCTTTTAATGCACAAAAATAACAAGAAAAGTTCTAACCATCACCAGCCATTGAATATGTATGTTGAAATTGAAATTCATATCAAAGTAACACAGTAAACAGGAGTGTGTGAAACCTCAAGTAACGACATAAACAGGAATGTGTAAAACCTCAAGTGCCAACGTAAACAGGACCGTGTGATATCTCAAGTTTCAATATAAACAGGAGTTTGTGAAACCTTAAATGACAAAATAAACAGGATCGTGTGAAACCTCAGTGTATAGCATAGGCTGAATGAACAGTCATTTGCATTTCACATCTAATTTGCATAAAACTGAATCGAGAGTGTTTATTGACAAAGCTGTATAACAATAGTTTTACTTATTCCTATCCGAGGTATTATTCCTTCACTTTTTTTTGGTAGATAACACAGGCCTGCGATGGTTTTATTGTCTTCAAATTTTTACATGTTCTAACAGTATTTCATTTACGCTAAATCCGAAAATTATATCCATTTTTCTCCATCACATACAGATTTTTCACAAAACGTCATAACGCAATACATAAAAGAAAAACCACAATACGTAGTTTTGAGACTAAAAGACGTAGATTTCACACACAAAAATAAATCAGGATCAATGAGAATGCATATTCGTTTGACATCAATGTTCTTCCCTTTTCTTCAGTTTGTTTGTATTTTTGTTAACAAACATAACAATAAAAAATTTTCATTGTGGTAAACGAAATAATAATTTGATCTAAGTAAGAGTCCCCTTCCCCCCGTTTTGTAAAACATCCTTACGTGATAAAAAAAATGAATATTATTTTCGAAATCTGCGTAGCTGAATTGTGGAAAATCCGTTATTAAAATTAAAACAACTTTTATGAAGTTTAAGTTCGCCGGCCTGTGTTATCTGATTATATGTTAACTGATCAGTTTCCTGCAGTCAGGTGTGAATGATTTGTTCCAACTAACAATAATTTGGTGTAAGAACAAACAAAATTCACACTTGAACAACAACAACGTGGCATCACTTATTGTAAAACGACTTGAAGTAAGACTTGTATTCGATTTTAGAGGATAACATGTGCATTATAAACCATTTAGAAAAATATTGCAATGAAAAGTTATATATGTATTGAAGTTAAAATATTTAAGCCATTGTCGTGTTCCTAAAATAATGCACACAGTTCGATATAAGACAGAAGTTGCTTAAAACATTATGACAAGTATGTATACATTGAGTTATCTCGTAATGGAGAGATACAGCTATGCAGAAAAATAATGAAAACTGTATTAAAGTAACACAAATACGATACCCTATAACCCGGGCGCTTTAGAAAGGTGGACCATTCTCCTTCTGTTTGCCCCTGAAAAAAATAAATGCCCACTTTCGAAAGCGCTTGGGTTATAGGATGTCTTATTTTTGGTTAAACTTTGATTTCTTGAACCTCCGTGTTTTTCTAACATCATGAAAGTAAAAACAAAATCAGATTACGACAAATGTATGTAAAATAATGATCACCTGGTAATTAATAACGTATTAATAAAAGGTACAAAATTTGCTTTCAACAAATAACTGTTGGTTCGACTTCGTTTTTTTGCCACTAATCCGTTCTATGCTTTATACCAATGAGCAAGATTAACGTGAAAAACAATACATATATATCCCATATGTCCTCAAGTTGCATAGCAGTATGTCTGCGGACTTAGAACGCTAGAAATCGGGTTTTCGATACCCGTGGTGGACAGATAGCCCATTGTGTAGCTTTGTGCTTAACTTCAAACACAATATCCCATATACAAAAGACACTGGATTCTATAAATAAGGGTTATATTAATAAGAAACTTGATTTTCTTGAATGTTTAAACTCACAAAAAATTCACAAACTGTGTACTCATTCATATAAACATAATGATTTTTTTTTAATTTCGCGCAAAGCTACACGAGGCCTATCTGCGCTAGTCGTCCCTAATTTAGCAGTGAAAGACTAAAGGGAAGGCCTCTACTCATCACTACCCACCGCCAACTCTTTTACCAACGAATAATGGGATTGATCATCACATTATAACGTACCCACAGCTGAAAATGTGAGTCTGCGGACTTACCACGCTAGAAACCGGGTTTCGATACCCGTGGTGGGCAGAGCACAGATAGACTATTGCGTAGCTTTGTGTTTAACTACAAACAAAATTGTTTAATAATCTTTATGGAATTTTTTGCTTCTAGTTCGATGGAATATATCAAAATTGAATGATACGTGCCAGAACGCCCAACGATACTTGCCTTCATAAATCTACCAAAATCATAAATGTTACGAGTTTCAAACGTTTGGTTCATATTTACTCAGTTGAACATTTCGGCTGTTTGGTGGGACGGGGATTCGAACCCGCGACTCTCAGAGTGCGAGTAAAGTGTCCTAACCTCCTGGCCAGACATAATGTTGGTATTGGAATACAATGTGTCTGTTATCAGCTTGGTGTTATTCTTTCGGTATGGAAGCTAACTTCAAAAGTCATGTTTTATATTTTTCTTTTTTTTTTTACTATTCTTGCTTCAAAACTACACGATGTTTTGTTGTTTTACATAATTGTGTAACACTTGTGTAGCTAGTTAACAGTTTGGTGATTTTTGAGATCTGATTTTTTTTTCAGATGTGGAGGTGCGTGTATGATGAACTGGTAAGTAAATACTGTCCCCAATAAATATCTACTGAATTGGTGCGTGTATGATGAACTGGTAAGTAAATACTGTCCCCAATAAATATCTACTGAATTGGTGCGTGTATGATGAACTGGTAAGTAAATACTGTCCCCAATAGATATCTACTGAATTGGTGCGTGTATGATGAACTGGTAAGTAAATACTGTCCTCAATAAATATCTACTGAATTGTTTTGTTTGATTGATTACTTTCCAGTTTTTGGTTAACAGACTTTAAAATAGATCAACATTCAATAATTAAATATATTACTTTATATATATATATATGAGAAAACTTTACTTGTACATTCCTTATAGCAAACAGAAATTATTACAAAATATTAACAAGGGAAGTTTTGACAGTTGTACAAGTTACTTGTGAATTTTTTTCCCATCAAAGCGTGTAATTTAAGCGAAGAAAAGAAACAATCACTGGATAACATATACGTGAGTGACGTGATTTTGGCGAAACAAGTCTACTTCAGAGGGATTGGCGAATCAAAAAATAGATTAGGCCTCTACGTTATTTACGCATTCTTTTTTTTTTCTTCTTCTTCTCTGAAATTATACATTTAGGTGAGGAAAATAAAACTTCACAGATACACACTACCAGCCAGCCCGCTGAATAATAATGAATAATTAACTGTGACGGGACAGTTACATGTTATCCAAACACTTAATGTATTTTAGATTATTAGTGATAATTAAAATACTATAAATCAAAGCGTTCAAGTTGTACAAGCTGTTGGTTAATTTAAGGTATTGATGGATAAATTTATTTTGACAATATAATACACTTGACTTAATTAATAAAAACTACTCAAAAGCGTCGGAACCGGAGAGGCTGAGGGTGCTATAGCACCCTCACTTTTACATATCTGACATATAGCAACTGTAAATTATATTATTACATTAATTTTCTTGGGGGGGGGGCATGTCTAGCCAAGCATCCCACTTTGCAACTCATTCCTGCACCACTGCTATCAATATATAGTCTCATTTCTATAAAGAACTTTGGGTTTTATAATCCGGGTTTCCTGATGAACAACACTGAAAACCCGCAACAGATAAGGAATATTTGAAAACCTGTTAACGAACTCTTTTTATTGGAAAATGAGATTACAATTCATAGGGAACTGGTGGTCTTATTGTGTTGTTATTGGGTTTTTTTGTGGTTTTTTTTCCAAAAGGTTAACTTGATGGAAAAAGATTTAGGAAGTATCAAATCATTCACCAAAAGGTTAACTTGATGAAAAAGGATTTAGGAAGTATCAAACCATCCACCAAAACGTTAACTTGAAAAAAAAAGGATGGTTTGATATTTCCTAAATCAACAAGTTAACCTTTTGGTGGATGGTTTGATACTTACTAAATAATTTTTTCTTCAATTTAACCTTTTGGTAATGAACAAAGGATTTAGGAAGTATCAAATCATTCACCAAAAGGTTAACTTGAAGAACAAATTATTTAGGAAGTGTCAAATCATGCACCAAAAGGTTAACTTGATGAAAAAGGATTTAGGAAGTATCAAACCATCCACCAAAACGTTAACTTGAAAAAAAAATTGATTTAGGAAATATCAAACCATCCACCAAAAGGTTAAATTGAAGAAAAAATTATTTAGTAAGTATCAAACCATCCACCAAAAGGTTAACTTGATGAACAAAAGATTTAGGAAATATCAAACCATCCACCAAAAGGTTAAATTGAAGAAAAAATTATTTAGTAAGTATCAAACCATCCACCAAAAGGTTAACTTGATGAACAAAGGGTTTAAAAAGTATAAAATCATCCACCAAAAGGTTAACTTGAAGAACAAATTATTTAAGAAGAATCAAACCATCCACCAAAAGGTTAACTTGATGAACAAAGGATTT